TAAAAAACTGTCCGTTAGGCATAGCCTCTTTAGGCAAACTGTCCTTGGGCAAAACGTCTTTAGGCAGATTGTTCGCTCACGACACATTTTATATGGTAAAACATACTTTCAAAATCTCTTCCGTTGAATACTTTCAGAAATAAGTAAAGGATCGAATATACCGCCACCGCTTGAGGGTAAGCATTTTGCTATGTATTTCGTTGCTCATACAGAACACTTTAATCGTATTTGCTCACTTTAATACACTTTAACACTTTAATAATCGTATTTGCTCACTTTAATACACTTTAACACTTTAATAATCGTATTTGCTCGGTATCTTCAATTTGTTCTCCACTCAATATGAAAACTAAAAACTAGAACTACGAGCGTAAACGAATTGAATCGGTTGAAGATTCATCTTGCACGCTAGCAGATTATAATGCTTTCGAGCAATCATTGGAAACGGATTTCGTCATCCACAAAATATGTTGACGAAAAGCTGAGAGAATACAAAATTCATCAGTGGACATTTACAGGCAAACTCAAAATAACATTCTCATTCCCAATCGCGCATCTCGATGAGAAAGACAACAGTCGTCTTGACGCTATGGTACACCACTTTGTTATGTTTTATTCTGATTACAGAGGCAAATGAATAGATTTTCGGCAATTTGGCAGTTTCTTCAGCAAACTAGATGAAATTTTGATGAACTTAGTATAGAGCAAGTGAATCGTGCATTAGTTGAGCGAAACTGTAGCAGAAACAGAAAAACTTGTGGTTATTTTTGCTGGACATCTGTTGGTGGTGGTCACCTTGTTGGTGGTGATCGATNGATCGTCACCGAGATCAAAAAGCTTGGGAAATGCATCAAGCAAACTGATTGAATGATTGATTTCGATTGAAAATTCAGCACAATCGCCTTATTACGGCAATAACGGATGTGATAATGGGTTTCAACGATGGGAGGACAACGTTCGCATTCCAACAATACAGTGATGAAAGCACTCAAAGACTTATCGATAATCTCGATTTCGCAACCGCTCTAAGAGACTTGAATTCGATTGTGTCGAAAACTGTCCTCGGTGTTCAACCTTCTCAGCACAGGTCTCCGTTGAACTTATTCAGTCGCACGTCACTTTTCCACTTCGATCTTGCCTGCACTGATGGATTGTGAACCATTGAACAGTTGAATTCTCTAAATTTATTCTTGGAGAATTCGAGCGAAATTTCGCTATTACAAGCAGAATCGCTACGATAGCTCCTGATGATGAAGGCGAAAGGACTTTGGAGTGTATTCTGATATACGAAGCGTTCGTGTACTGAAGTGGTTTATGCTAGGAAAAGAAGTACATTCGAACGATGTTTTTAAAAATAACAATTCCTTGTGAAGTAAGAGTGAGAAGAGAAAAGTCTTAATGATGAATTTTTTTGGTTGTTTCTTAGAATAATAATGCAGAACAATGAATTGTTCAATTTTCAAAAAGTTAAAGGCTAAACGTTGAAGATCATTGAAGCTTAGTTATTCTGTAGTGACTGGCGGATAAAATAAATACGCTGAACAAGAGAGCATGTTTGCAGCATTCCATATTCAACACAATTTTCAGCGCTATTCAGTCATTCTTTTCTGATACGATGAACGATCGCAATTTCCGACATTCATATGTTATATTCACGCCAGAACAAGACGATTATCGGTATGTTCCCATTCCACCGCAGAAGTAAAACGATCTTCGTATTCTTTTCGTTTCTGGTCAANAAAAAAAAAGAATTTCATACGGATTGCTCCCATATAAACTGAATCTGCATGAATGTGGCAGTTGTGCAAGATGGAGCTATCAGTGAGCTTTCAGGTCCGGGAGAAAATCCACAGGAGTCGGCTGAATTCGTTATGACGTTTGCATTCAACATAGCACATAACGATGGCAAAGCTCGTATGAAGAGAAGTCCAGCAGATGTGACGGCAAATGCACCTCAGGTATGCGATGCGTCCGAACGTTTCATCGTGTCATCAGAGTTGTTATTGAGGCTAAACCAAATTGATTGTTCAAGTAGAGCGCAACAATTCAGTGAACTTCTTGTCATGTACCAATGCAATTTCAGGAGTGTCAAATCATGAGTGCTGCTATCGACAAGTACAAGGGAAAAAGTGTAGCATTCATATACGAAATATACGCTAGCGGTATAAATCCGCCAGCTATAGATTGCACGGATGCTAAGAATGCATTGGAAAAATTAAAGACTGTTTGCGCCTTGGAACTTCCAAGCGGAAACCCAAGTTTGGCAGGGTAAGGGCGAATGTTTGTGCACACTTATATCTTGATCACTTTAAGGATCATCTGCATTTCGGTATTCATGTAACATAATTGAGGTGCTGAAGTGTCTGATATAAACTGATGAGAATTGTTTCTGAATGATTAATTCATTCAACGAATAATATTCCAAAATTTTCTTTCAACATGTTGACTGAAAAAATTTCAAATTAAGTTTGCGATCTTGTTGTGAAATCGAACGGCTTTATCACTCATCTTCACAGTTGATAGTTTACTTTTGTGTTCGTTCGTTAGCGATCATATGAAAACAATACTTTTATTCTTAAATTGATCTGTCCAAGTGAATGCTAGTTGCTTGATCGTGTGATTTTTACTTAATCATACCAAATTGCTTGCTTCTTTTTTTGAAGCTATTAGTGTCAAGCTGAAAATTTACTGCTTTATTGGACGATAAAATTTACAGCTTTATTGATAGACTAAAATATTTCGTTTCAATTTACCACTTTTAATACAGCGCGCTTATCAGCTGTACCCTGATGACAAGCACACTGCAAAAAAACAGTAATGAGAAATCAAAATATTTGAGGCGAATGTGATATGAAGCATTCTTTGTTCGCTTTAAGAAATAATGCGATTAGCGATCGTAAAGGAAAGTTCAAAAGATCAGAGTTTATTCTATCATAACATCTGAAATATTTTCTGCACTCTCGTGAGGGTTCCTCAATGGATTGAAAATTGAAAATTGACAAGTGGAGGATTGAAATTTGACAAGTGGAGAGCTAATGAAAAGTTATCGGGCGTATTGCATACCTGAGGTGCATTTGCCGTCTCATCCGCTGCACTTCTCTTCATACGAGCTTCGCCATTGCTATGTGCTATATTGAATGTTGCCATAAATATTTTGCACACTTAATTAAATACAGCCGAATACCAATCCATTAAAAAATCGCAACAATCACGAACTTTTACCGATCATATGGAGCGAGTTATTTAGGTCTAGGAAATCGAATAAACATCAACGTGTCACCACGATGAATACCAGCCAGCGGCTCCTAATGAAAAGTATTTCAGTAGTGAAAAGAATGTTGATTTCAGAGCAATTTCGAATTATCAACTTGCAACATCGAGCAACACCACAGGAAAAGGACAACCGATTTATTTGATATTTCCACCCCAAGCTGCTGACTATTCGTAAGCTTTACAATACTCGGTTCAAAACCCGTCATTNAATAGCAAAATCGCTCAGCACCAAAAAATTGCGTGTTCTACGGTAGACTGAATAGTTATTAATTATGCTGAAATTCGTATTGTTAGATGGCAACATGCAACCATATTGAAGCTATATGCACTGAAACTACTTGATAAATGTGATCAGCTCTCATTTCTTCATAGTAAATGAAGTGCTCGATTGAGTTAATGTGATGATTTCAATATTGTAGGGATCCTGATGATTTCAAAAAGGACATGAGCTCAGCATCCGCCAATATGGCCAAATTTGCTAAAGATCTGAAGTCAACTTCAGCTCAGTCATCACTTGTGATTATCGCAGACGCACAAAGCGCCAGCTACTTCGCAAACGTTTCAGATGTAGGCCTCGTAAACACCTCCGGCAGATCTGTAGATGAAATCATGAGCAGTCTTTCTTCAGAAATGCGTTAGTAGTTGTTTCCAATTGTTCATCACTATCCGATAATGTTTGCGTATTGCACCAGTTGAAATCACTTTGAATGGTAATATCAAACAATTTGATAGATCATCCTACAGGGGCGTTCACGGTTTCATAACGCCTCTTATTAAAACTTAGAATGCGTACTGTATGATATTGAGCGAAACATATTTTGTAATATTATTTGTTTTGAATTTTCAAATTAAGTCAGTTTTCTTAAACTGCCTGTGTGAACGTATTCAAAAACTTAATTGATTCACCATTCAGTCCGGATACGAACCGTTTAGCTTTTGCAATAAACGGGAATCAAATATGGAACTGTTCGCTGCATTGTGCCATAATATGAGTTAGCCGCTTGAGGTTGTTTTGTGAAGTTAAATATGCCTGATCATTTGATCACTTATTATGTTGCGAGCACTTAATGATCTCATACAGTTCTCCAGTCTGTCTGGATTCAGTGTTCGATATCGTTGTTAGCCTAATATATCGCGATATTTCAGCTGTTATTGAAAATTCAGCAACAAGCAGTACTCCGCCTAGCCCACCTGATGGAAGATCTTCAACAACTACTCATGGAGGATCTCCACCATCAGGTAATGGTTCTTCAACACCAACCATACCGACAAGTAGTGTGCATAAAATTATTAAACTGAAACAATTTTTGATAATGATGATACAGCTATTGATTTTAACGACTGATCAATCGTACAAAAGTATCGGCCAGATTCTTATTGTGAAACAAAGCTTCAAGCGATGATGATAGATTATATTGATGTAATCGATGTACAGCTGCACTCCATCAACATTTCAGAACTTTTTTTTGTTACAGTAACTATCCCTTCATCAAATACCACACAACCTTCGGACGGTACGACCCATTCAATTGGAACAATCACTCCAGAACCACCAACTGCACCATCTGGTACGCATAGGTTGCTTTTCACCAGATGGAAGCTAATCAGTTTTGTCGAATACGAATTTATGAATAGGACACAATAAGATATGAGATGAGATTGATTCAGCAGTATTTATTGGTCAATTCGAATGTGTCACAGCCACTGACAGAGTTGCTCTCTTGTTTAAATGTTTGCCCATTGATTCATTCAACTATGCAGGTGCAAATTTTAAACTATCACACTTCATTGAAGTAGGCCAAAGTGAACATTGGCACATGCATGAAATTACTTGCTCACCATTGAATTCGCAGTAATTTCGATTCTTTTTTATTCAATTTATAATTGCTTGCATTCATTCAGGTGGTATACCATCGACTTCTACTCATGGTCCAACTCCCCCTCCACCACCACCACAAACAAATACAACTATACCTATTTTACGTAATTAT